CATCCATCTCATAACTCAAGTATTTTTAGTTGAGTTTCACCTAAACCCTCACAAATGCACGTAAAACACTGAAACAATATATAAATCCAAAACTCTAAGTTCTAGCATCAAAACTTAGATCAAATACAAAAATTTACCGAAAGTTTAGATATATTGTGTTAGTTCTAGTTGGCTCGATTCGGTTTGTCAGTTCTTTGATTTTTTTTCGGAATAGAAATATTCTACTGAAACTAACCAAAGAAATCTGTCGTTCGATTTGGTTATGATGTTATGATGTCAAATTAAATCGAAGTGTTAATTCGGTTTGGTTTTTAGTGACAATTTTGGTTAATTTTGTATAGTTTGGTTAATTTTAGTTGGCCTGGACTATTTTGGTTAGTTTGAATTGATTCACCAATATAAATGAGATGTTTCATTAGATTTTTTTTTTTTGGAGGGGGGTTTGACATCAAACCCGCCCACTACAAAATCTAATTATTTAACAAAGTATCAGAAACAAGACCTATTTGGAGCTCTAAACTTTCCAGTAAGAGAAGCCCACTGTAATATGCGAGCTGGGGCTTAATGACATCGAGCTGGAGGTCGATAACATCGAGCTGGAGGTCGATAACATTGAGCTTGAGATCAACAATATCGAGTTGAATTAGTCAACAAAGAATCTTGGAGCTAGAGCCATAATCTGAGATAGTGGCAAAACGTGCTCCATAGATGAAGGAGCGTGCTCCGCAAATCAATGGGTGGTTGGGCCCAAATGAGGATTATGAAAGGCAGTCTTCGACTCCATTTTTAGGGGGAGATTTTTTACTTAGTATTCTCTACACAAATCTCTACGTACTACTGTTCACCGAACTGACACTATGTTCATTTTATCCATATCTCATCAATTCATTGTATTAATCGTGATTCATGTACTCATATTAATACAAATCCATTTGGTTATTTCCAATATATTTTTATCTCGGATTCATAGCGAAATCAAGACCTTATTATCAAATCATTTCTAATCTTGTGTGGGGTTAATATTATTAAAAATTATTTGTATTATTGAAAATCCTATTTAAGAGTATTCAATTTGAATTATTTCTTCAATTGATAAATTGAGGAGACATCAAAATGTGAAAATAAAATACATCAAAAAAAGTAATTATTTTTCTTAAAACCATCGAATTTAAATAGGAAATAAAGAATCAAGGTAAATTTTCTAACCAAAAGTAATTTGAAACCTATATTATTAATGTATGTGATTATGATTTATTATACGATGCTCTCTAGCTAAATAACATATTATCACATCTAAGCAATGTTCTCAAAAGCATTCTAGGCATTCGTCTAAGCGGTGCTTAGGCACTAGGCCCCTATAGACCGTGGCGATTACCGCTTTTGCTGTCTAAAATATTATAGTATTATAACAATAAAATAATATAAATTTTCTTATATATAAATCATAAAATTTTAAATATTTGACTATAAAATGATGAATATAAATACAATATAAATTTTATTAGTTATAAATTATGGTTTTTTATATATTTTATTATATATATTTAATATATTATGTATTTTTGTAAAAACGATTATACCGCCTATTAAATCGCCTAGGCTCCGATTAGGCGTTCTATGCACTATGTATTGGGTCACCGCCCGCTTAGCGCCTAGCACTTTCTTGAACATTGCATCTAAGTAAAACAAAACTTTATGAAGTTCTTCTGCATCTTGCACGGTATATATTTTAATTGATAATATGTTTTTGTTGAGAGGTATATTTCACATTGTTGGTCTGAATCAAAACCAAAGAAATATTTCCTATASAACAACATTCATTAAACGGAGTTTGGCAATATATCACACTATCTAACATCAGAAACTCTTTATGCAAATCACAACCTAGAACCACATATGTATAACACCAAATAACAAAAGGATAACATATATAGACTATATATATATACAGAAGAACGGGGTGGTGCCTAAGAGACTATACGGGCCTCTTTACTTTCGACATGAGAGGATGTAGA